GTGCACTGACAAATTTTTATTACACTTGAGTAAAAAATTTATTTGCATTCAATTAATTCACTGATTTGGTGCGTGTAACTGGAAAATATTTGTTTCAAGTTTGTTGGTTGTTTGAATTTACTTTAATTTTAATTAAGGTTATTATGTTTTGTTCGCTGCTCAAACTGTCATTAATCCCGAAATTTTAGATCTATTTATGTTTTATATGCTTTAAAAATGGGGGAAGGAGTATGATTTCTGATTCTGACGTTTATATTATTCAATATTCATTTCATATTTTTAGCGTCGTAAGTATGCTATTGTTCATAGCAGCTACTTGTAGGGTCTTATGGCTTATTTCGTGGCCTTGACCCGGAATTTGCTGATTCGCTTTATTCCGACGATAGGATCCTTCGTTTATAATACTTAGGTTCGCTTTAATCTTCCGAAACAAAGTAACTTTACTACTGGGCATATTACTGAAGGTGGTAATGCATTTTCGTAATTATGGATATTGAGTAATATGCATAATTATGAAGATGATCGTAGATTATGCATTTCTTGTTTGACCAACGTTTCAGCTTTGCCTATATAATGAAGCTGTTGTTTACTTAGTAGCAGTGACATGTTATGGAATTCGTGAGGTTACATCAATTAAAATTTTAATCTAAACTTCTTTCGACAATGATACGCGACCGCAGTCCTAGATGGTAAAAGTGGAAGAAGGTCCATAGTGCACGAAAACCGGTAAAAATGACCTATTAGTCCATGCGTAATTAACTTTCTTAATCCCCATGTTTCATTGTCATTTACAAAGAAATTCTTTAATAACAACGAGCGTGGTACGTTGTAGCTTGAAAACCTGAATCATGGATTGGTCTGAAAATGGAGTGCTATCAACTACGGTTATATTTCAGTGTAACCATAGTACAATGTTCATATGGGTTTGTTGCTAATATTTTATGCTGCAGCAGCTGTTCTTTTCGTCCTTTTGACTCTTTTCATGATCACCTTGCTTACTCTCAATTGTTTTCAAATTCTCAGGTGATTTTTCTAGAATTTAATATTTTCTTTTTTTTCGGACCTTAGGAGAGCCAGCAGTATAGGATGTTTGAAAAAGCTTATGATTATTGTATTTTTCAAGCCGAACATTAATAATTTTCGCTTATTTTTGACGTATGGAACTGTGTATCATATTCAGGAAACATAGACTTACGGGGAAAAGCTCAGTCAGTTCGTCGAATCTGGTATCCAGATCATTGGATATGGCATTCGATGGTGTTATCGAACGGGTAATATTTTTATGTGTTGGCTTATTGCCGAAAAAAATTATTCTTGAAAGTCACTAATGATTAAACTTCAAGAATCCTCTTGAATTATGAATTATGAGAATAATATGTCAAATCATTGGAAGTATTTGTTTAGAAGATCTTAATATTATTAGTATAAAAAGAGTTAAGGAATTTCAGATTGATGTGGATAGGATAATAAGTCGTCGTCAGGAAAGGATACCGGAATCTGTTGAGAGAACTAATAAAAATGAAGATCGAACACATCCATTAGAACATATTGATAATGATACAGCAGCAGTACTAGCTGTAGATCAATTGTTAGACACTTCATTTCTTATATCGGATGAGGAACTTGCCTGCTATGCACCACCTGTTGATATGAAGATTGTTGATGCTCGTAGAGATCATGTCTGAGGGAGCGGGTTTTGCATTAATGTTGTCATTCTCTTAATTTACGAAAACATGCCAAAAAAAAAAAAAACGAAAACATGCCAATGTTGTCATTCTCTTAATTTACGAAAACATGTTGTTTGTTTTATTTTTTTATAATTCATTGTGAAAGCAGTGTTGGAGAGTTTCTCCTATCGTTCGACAAATCATGAAAAATTTGGGCTCAACAAATAACACACATACTTTTTTTTGATTCAGTGGATCAAATTTGACTTATTTCCAGTAAGAAGTTAATTCGCAGTTTTTACATCTCTTTTTGAAATATAACTCTAGATGAATCCAAATGTACTACAGAAAAAGATTTTCGAAATTCCGTAAGATAAATGCATAATGCTATTTTTGACCTTCCGATCCTTACTTGATCGATACCCTTACTTTCCTTACTGTTTTCAGCCGTTTATAAGCATATCTGTGAATTTGCTTCAAAAATCTTCGCCCGGATGACAAGCATAATCATTTGTTTCTGTATGTGTACATACTCGGTGAATACTTTGAAATAAATTCAGTCGCTATTGCTTTCATAAAATCATTATATAGTATGGAGTATTACTGGGTGATGTCTAAAGACAACGGGGAATAGTCATGTTCAATGACGGAAAAATAATATTGCGAATAGTTAAGAGAAGCGGTGACGAAGTGCTTGACGGATGAGTTGGAAATGAATTCGGTGGAGGAATCCGGTAACTTCATATTCGTCGTATAGTTCTGATTGGCTGTGGTGGCGTACCTGTAGGATTTGGCAGTATTATCGGATTGGGAAAATTATGAAGTTTTGCACGATCTGAGAATTTTTTGCAAATAAAACATGAGTGGAATTAACATATTTGGCTACATGAAGTCTGAAAATGTTTACGCTAACCTACGTGAATTTTTTCAAACATTTCCGGATAGAGATTCATATTCGTCCAGCTACTTAGTTACTCGATTTCTATACTTGTCAGTATACATCTTCTATCGCTGTCTAGCTTTCAAATTGATAATTTTGAAATCTAAACTATTACTGAGCAGCAGACTAACTTACTATTTGTTAATGTGGATCATTATTAATATGCAATAAATCATGTAAATACTGGCAAGTTAAACAACATTTCTTGCTTTCAAGTATTGAGTTTTCTTGGAATGTTTTACACTTTTAAAAAGGTAAAAGTTTTTGTTGCAAAGATAGATTCATATTACTATAAAAAATCATGTTCAAATGTTGTTTAGTGAATTTTGTCCATTAAAATAGATGGTTAGAATTATTTATGAATTAAATCAAAGAATGCAAATGTTTGAAACTTCTCACATGTGAACTAAAATTCTGTTGTATAAATCAAAACGTCTAAATTTTATAAAATAGTATAGCACGTTGTTAATGAACTTAGTTTAAAGATTTCTTATAATTTAATTTCTTTCCTTTTGTTTATTTTTTTTTCCTTTATTTTCGTTTTTAAGAAACTATGAGATAAATAGAAGATTCAGAAAATGTTGCAGATGATGACAATTTGATTAAATAATATTATAGATATGATTTGATGACATAGAATGAATTTGATTTCATAATTTTATATGTCGGCGATAACTTAAGAAGATTTCATCTTCGGATAAATTTTATGCTATAAACATGTAATTCTTCATTTTCGTTGAACAATGAATAGCTTTCACACATTTTAACACTAACCAATCATAAGATTACATTTAAAAATTTAATCGGTGATGAATTAATTCTACAGTAATACAGGAATTATCAATAATTATTGCATAAGAGGAATGCTTCGTACTGCAGTAAATAAATCATAAATATTTTTCATCATTCTTTGTTTCTGAATTTTGCATTCATCCACATGTACAATGATAGAAATTTTTATGAATGTTGCATGAAATGCAATATATATTCATAAAATACCGTATCAAAATGAGAAGGCAATTTATATGGCGGCTTTAATTATTACTTTTAAAATGCATAAATGTATTACTTAGAAACTTTACTTAGAAACTTATGCATATAAATATTATATTAAAAAAATATATATTTTTTAATATATATAAACTGATCAATAATTTTATCGGTAGAATATATTTACAAAATTAATTCGATGTTTACAATTTTCAACAAACATTTAAAGATTTATTTTTAGTACGCTTAGCAATTCTCTCAAGCTTACGAATAAAATTTTAAATATAATATTGCACTATAAAATTCTTCGAAAAAAACTGTAATGTAAAATTACAAATTTGTGAAGAAAAATAGAAGAGGAAATTCTCGGTTCAATCAATAGTTCAATGAGTTCAATACATCTACAAAAATATTATGATAGTAGTAGAGAAAAATGAATGAAATATTCTAACGTTTATTTGTAGATCTTAAGCATTTATCAATATACGCATACAATAATAATAAGTTTATACAAATTTTTCCCAATACATAAAATTTTAATGGCACAACAAAATTTTTGATGACAAATTACGACGGAATATTCATTGAATACAAAAACAGGAATTGGAATAAGAATAGAAAAAGCTGTAAAGATTTATCAGTTATTTAATTGATTTAAAAATAATTTGTTCCATAATTTATTCTTAATACTGTCTGTAACTCTTCCAGTAGTCATTTGAAATTAATTTAATTTGAGGTAACGATTTTTTTTAAATGTGCTACGATTAAAATTAATGAAAGGATTTGAATTATACAGTTGGTAAAGCTCTTCAAACGAGATCTCAAATTATAAAGATCCTTTAACACAATTATTCCATCCAAAAATTAGAAACGGATAGTAGTGATACATCTAAATAATTTTCTGTAGTAGAAGAAAAGTAAAGTTTATTAGGTTGGAATATAATACTAGAATTTGTTGTACTTGTATTTTGGTATATCATTGATAACAGCTCTTACATATTTCATTTTTAATTTCGATAATTAAGCAAATATATGTGTATATTTATATAAAAGCGCTTATGTTCGCTTATGTTAAATACCGCTTCATACCACTAATGAATATTTTGATAAAATAAAAGATATAAGATTTGTCGAAATAACTGAAGTGTAAGGATACATCAGGAAAAATTGAAGTAAACACCACTGTAAAATGTATTACATATCATCTTAATATATTAGATATACTATTCGATATCTTCATCTCTACATTTAAATAACTGAATGAACAGTCTTATGAATTAACTAAATAATGGAAAAATAATTCTGCTGAGAATTAAAAAAAAAGGTATATAATAATTGATTGGAAGTTAAAAAGTTGACCTACTTCCGAAAAGACAAGAAAACATCATCTTTCAATGGACTGCTCATCTGATGTTTCCAACCTTCATCGGCGATTGTAGTAATATAATTGAGAAAATGGAGGATAGACTGAGAAAAGCATAATAAAATAAAGATGGAATGAATTGTGTTGAACCTGCATTGCAATAATCACTTCCTTTACAATAATATGTTTCACCTGTAATAAATCATTGTGCATTTCGCACTTTTTTTTTTAACATTATCATATCAAGAGAATTTCAATTTGATGAATTATATTTTTAAAAATTTGAAATTTCATGTCCAATTTGCTCAAAAAAAAAAAGAAACAAATGCTTCAAATTTAATGAAGATCTTCATTTAAGACAATATCTTTGCTTTAGTTAATTAATGAATTTAGTATTTCTTATGATCGTATAATGCTTTTAAGAATATTAATTTATGAAACTTTCTTACGAATATAAATTCTTTGAAATCCTAAGAAATTTTCATTTATCATCATTATTTAAAAATTTTCAAATGGCAAATTGAAATTTAGCAAAAATAATCGACATGATTTAAAACAAAGAAGGAAATTATGAAAATACCTAAAACTTTTTCATTGCGTACCCAATATAACCGTATATCAAGTGTTCGTCTTTTCATGCTACCATCTTCTTGATCTTCATTTGTGCAACCTTTCATTATTAGATTATGCTCTGTAAAATTTTCGAAAGATTGTATTTTTTCAATTTAAATTTTAGAATTTTAAAAATGACTGAAAAAAAAATCCAAATGCTAGGAAATTAAAACAAAAAATTCTTAGTAAAAAAATTAATTAAAAAAAATTGCTGTACTGTTAAACTAAATAAGTTTTTATGATATTATTTTATATGCTTTATTTATCATTAAATTTTGAAATTGATAAGTGTAATTATCTGATAAGTGCAATTACATCTCTGCTAATGTTACAGCTATTGCAAAAATAAAAATCACACGATCATATTATGAAAAGATTACAATGTCTATTTAATTGAGACATTTCTTCATATCTATTTTAAAAGTGATAACAGCTGACATCAAACAAACATGTCAGTTTTTTTTTTGCCCTTATCATTCAACAAAAAAAAAAATACTACTAACTTTTATCGATAAGCTTAAAGCAAGAACCACTGCAACATACGGTGCCTGTTTCACAATTTTCCATATCTCTACCCATACATGTATAACATGCATTTGTACCATTTTTCAGCGTACAATTAACCATTGTTTCAACTGCATTACTTATTCCTTAAATATATTAATATTTTATTTCTTAAATTAAACAAAATATATTTTATTGTAAAATTGATCTTAATTATTGAATAATAATTAGCAAAATAACACAATACATGCTTATTATATCGATTAACTACGATTACAATTAATTTGAAATCGATAAACAGAAAATAAAAATTGGAAATGATTGCAAACTTTGCTTAATATTAAATTTAGAACAAAAAGGAAATAATTATTTCAATTTGTCACAAATTGCCATTAATTAGTGCTTTCTAAATTATTCATCCATTTATTTCAAAATTTGAAATGAAAGAAAAGGGAAGTGAAAAAAGAAAAATCCATCGAATTGAAGGAATCATCCTTCATTTGTAGGGACGTGGATCTGTTTAGATTTTAAAAAAAGAAACTTCTTCCTTTGTGATTATTTTTTGAGAAATTCTATAATTAAATTTTCATCATTTATAAATTAATCAATGAGCGAGATTAAAATGCATGCTATTAGCACTTATTCAGATAAAATATGATGAAAAGTTGTTTACCTAGGTAGAGTAGGATAAAATTAGAAAGCACTTACCTAGGCAGAATAGAATAAAATTAGAAAACACTTACCTAGGCAGAATAGAATAAAATTAGAAAGCACTTACTTAGGCAGAATAAAATAAAATTAGAAAACACTTACCTAGGCAGAATAGAATAAAATTAGAAAGCACTTACTTAGGTAGAATAAAATAAAATTAGAAAACACTTACCTAGATAAAATAGGATGAGTAGACCAGCATGAAAATTTTCCAATCGCATTTCTAAACAAAAACAATGTATCAATCATATGAATATTTTACATATTATAAATAATATATTTTAACGTATTCTAATCGTTTATCGTTTTATTCATTTATCTCATCCATGAATATTTGAAACATTAAAAAATTCAAAAATATTAGCTAAGAAAGAAAAGTTGTAAATTAGAAACTTAGCAAGCGAATATATCGCCTCATTAAATATTAATTATTTAACATAACATTAAAGAACAATTTCTTTTATTTCTATTTTTCCACTGTTTTTATTCTTTATCTTCAGAAAATTTTGCAATTGAAAATTAATGAAAAATTTTTTAATTAAAAAAAAAATTCATTGAAATTCTCTTTTTATTTTCTTAAATCAACAATTCATAGCAAACATAATAATTATTTATGAAGAAACATTTCCAAATAGTACATATCCGTTAAACTTTTCCTTCTTCTTCTACCACTTATAAAATTCGAATAATTTCTCATTTAAAAAACCATTCAACGAATATCGTCAATAAATTTCAAATCATTGTTGTAATAACATAAAACAAGGAAATGATAATAAATGTTATATCATTCTCACTTTTTTTTTTTATCATTTAATTAATCATAATGATGCAAACAAACATTTTAAACAAAATCAATACATCATTATCATTATCATTATCATCCATCATTACTGCAAGATTTCTAAAAAGTGATAGAATATTGAGAGAATTCATCATTACTTCAAAATTTCAATTAAGTAATAGGAAGAAGTATGAAAGGGAAAAGAAATGGAAAATTTTCAAAATTCATTTTATAAATTATTATCGTAAAAAATATTTAATTTATATAAAATAATAATTTTATTTTAATTTATTTTAATTTGAGAAATATTTTCAAAAAAAAAAAAAAAATGAAGAATGAATTTAATTTTTCGCATAAAAAAATCATTTCATATTTGAAATAATTTATCAATTTTATTTTTTTCATAATAAAAATAAAATTATTTCATAATTTCAATTTGATACGATCGATCGTTCGTTTTTTTTTTTAAACTTAAAAATGAATGATATAAATATAAAGAATAAGAAGATCGATGAAGAAAAAACGGAAATATTTCACTTTTAAATAGCATATTTCAATTGGAACAACAATTTGTATGCAATTTAGGAATGAAATGATTTCATATTATTTCGACATATTCAATGAATGAAATGAAATGAAATGAAATGAAATGATACATTAAAACAGTAAAAGCATATAAAGGGAAAGAAGCTTTTGGGGGGGGGGGGGGGAAAACAAGCGAATA